AAAAGGAGGGAGCAAGAAAGGGAGAAGAATTGCTGTGGCACAGCAGGAAATGCTAGCCGCTAACCTCATTTACATGCAGGTCCAGGGAGAATGGGGGGAGAGCTTATTCCGTTTCCAATCTCCATGTTAAATGCTGGCCAGGGCAGCTGATGGGAATGAGAGGCATTGTTCGCCCCATGCTGCTCTTCCCCACTCCGTTACACCAATACCTGCCTCGCTTTCTTCATAGTATTAAAAGAGACATTGCCTCAATAATTTCAATCTCAGCCGGAAATCTATATGAACCAGACGAGCTATGTATGCAGCTGTTTACTTTGAGCTGACTGTATACTGCAACCAAGCCTCATAGGTTTATCTGTTCTGTCATAACCAGGTTGTGACCTGAGGCTGCCGCATTCAAAGCCATCCTTCACCCACTGAGTCTGTTCTGTGGCATAATGATTGCTATGACAACCATCACTTAAAGCCACGGGTAGGTGGAGGAGAGATGTCAGCTTCTCGTCTACTCTTCTGATGATCTCATTTCTGGCTGGCAGGTACAACAAGGTCAAACCACTGAAACTGGAAAAGTGGCTGCTTGCTACATGCAAATGACAGAACCGAGTTTCCAAACAATTACACTGCCCTGTCCAAATCAACATGGGGCTAAGCTCTGAGAACCACAAGGTGGGGGATAAAAAAAAAAATCAGGGGAGTCAGAGAGAATGAGATGTAGAGGAAGGGATGGCTGTCTTTGGCCAGCTATGAGCACAAAGTCTGGCTGTGCGTGCCAAATGAGGTTTTTAAACGGTTTTTCTGGGAGGATTTGTGCTAATCTAGAAAACCTTCTGGAGGAAGTGCAAATACATCTGCCGCTGACCACTCCCCTGTAGAGCACGAGGGATTAATGACATGGCAATCTGAACCAACATGGCCCCCATTCAAAACACTCGTGGGGTGTGGGAATATACGGGCAATTATGAGCTGAGCCATCTGATTCACTTCTTTTTACAATGGCTTCCTACATCCATTCACTCATTACGCTACTCCGCTAATTTATCCAGCTTCATTTGTTTCTACTTATGGTTTTGTTTCTAGCAGGTACCATACGCCACAGGTCTCCTTACTCAGAAATATCCAGTGATTAGCTAATCTCATTAGCATCACAAGGGCAAAATTAAGTGATCAAATGTCCTTGATAAACAATGAGAGGATAAGACCAGAATCACATCGTTTTTTTGATGCACCGGGAGACGCAAGAACTACAGCGTGCAAATGGGGAGACCTTCTCTACAACTAAATTAGTCAAGATGCTCACCTGCATTTTCAGCATCATAAATAACCTCGCGCTGACTGCACTGACAATGGCTTTCTCAGAGATGACATCACATCAATGATTTTAACTTCTCCGGATTTTTGTCCCGCAGCCAAACACTTCCACTCTCCTTTTAGAGGTGATATATTGTTTCCCTAGAGAGCTGTCACTGCCTTATGGTTCTACTATCCTGTGTCTGTAACAGCCCCCCCTCCCCTTCTCTGTACTTTAATCTGCCTATAAAACTGATCCTATGTCCCAAAAAGCTGCAGACACACAGCTGTTAGCCCAGCAAGTTGAAGACATTAGCCTGCGCCTTGGTCTTGACTGCCCAAATGTGCAAAAGTGGAAACACTTCCACACCGAGAGGAGCGAAGGGTTAGCCTGGCTAGTGCACTAAAGACTAACTGGAGCCAGGCTGCGCTTCAGAGAGAATGTGTGTGTGAGAGGCCTCCTGCCCTCCTCTACCCACACAGGAAGTGAGGTCATCTCATAGCACTGCACCGTGCAGAGTGTGTTCAGCGAGGGCGACAAAGATCAACACGCTGGCCAGCCCCCTAGCAAATATATATACACTGATGACCCAGATTGAATAACTATGTTTCAAAAAGCATCTTTGTGGACAGTTAACGTGTAATAAGCTGAAACCGTAAATTTGCACCAACAGTCAAAAAGCAGCAATCAAAGCACACTCCAAAATCAGATGCCACCTGGAGCCAAAACCTTTCCAGTCTCACGCACTACTTAAGATTGTACCACATGCTCAAAAATTTCTTCACAGCCCACAGGGGAAGGTCTTTCTGTTAAGACAATTGAGGAAGTTCTTTATCTCTTAACAATGTAATTTTAGGGTCTTTCTAGGAGTGAAACGTGAGACAGTCAAACAATAAATCACATCCCTGTTTAGAGCAGGCGTCTGGCACGACTGGCCGGCTTCAGCTCCCCAGACCACCACCTCCTCCACTGCCGCCTCCTCCTCTCCTCTCATGCTCTCCATCCCTCATGCCTGTTAAAGGCTTGTCCTGCAGGGCCTGGATGCACTTGTGTGGTACAACAACAGAGAAACCGCCCAAAGCTCTTAACAGCTCTTCCTCTCCACTTCCTCCCTCCCTCCATCTCCACACTGCTACCACCACCAGCTCCTCTCTCCCTCTCCACTCTGCTCTGTCTTTCCCAGCTGCACCGGCGAGCTGTTCCGTATGAACTGCTGCCAGCTGAAAGCCTGCTACTCCTGTGAGATTGCTATTACTCAGTGCAAGCAGGGCTCTGCGTAGCCAAAGGGCTGCTCTCCGAGCTGTAGATCTCCATGTTGTGACTTGTCAACACGGGAAAAATCGTTACCAAGGCTGAGGCACTTCCATTCCACACAGAGGGGGTTCTGATTGTGACCAGGCAGACAGGCAGGTACTGTACTGGAGGTATTAGGACAACTGCTGTTGCCTGATTTTGTGCTGCAGAGGATTCTCTGCTGAGAGAAGGCACTTTGAAATTATTAGATAACGGACATCTGACGAAGAAAAAATACCTTTCCACGTTTACCATTGCAGTGATAGTTTTTTTTTTATGCTATAATTTGAACTAAACTTTGGCATAGAATACCAGAATGTATTTTTAAAGTTGCCAGCAGACACATAACACAACACAAAAGGGAAAAGAATAAAGTTCTTTAATGTTTCTTTACCATCGCTTGTAAATGCAGCACTCTGTAAAAGTTTTTGCCACCGGCACAGACAATACCTCAGGTAGAAATAAATGTATTCCTTCATTATTCATTACACAACCTTTAGACTTCTCGGAGCTACACAACTAGCCTTTTACATATAAACACTTTATCGGCTCTTCTGCTCAAAAGGCGTTTGTGTTGCTAAATTATTAAACACAAGGTCTCCTTCCACTGACCTCAAACATGTTTTAATAAAGAAAATTTGTGGTTCATAAGAGAAAAAAAAAGAAAATCTATGCAAAATTCTGAGTTCACAGTTTTCAAGTCAAGGTTTCCCATTTCCACTACTCTCACCATTAAACATTAGGCACTACAAAACTGCAGTATAGTCACTGAGCACTCTGAAAAAGGCATTATGTTACATAATCACAATAGCTACAAAATGATGTGCATATGATAGAATACTATGGACGGATGATGGGATCTTTAGTTATACGCTTAAATCCTGCGTTTAGTTCCATATTCACACTCCTGCATCGTTTTCTACTCTAATGGCCTTTCACACTACTCAGCCTGAACAATGCAAAAACAGAAACTTCCACTTCACTTAGTCATTCGATGTTTTTCCATCATTACCAGCATCATGCTACCAAAAAATTACTTTGCACATTTGATGTATTTGCCCATACATAACTTACTGACATTAAAGTTATGTATCTGAATTTGGAAACAAATCCATGAATCCCGTTTTATTTTCGTACAAGTAGAATGCAACACAAAATGCTTCACACGCACAACAAAAACTATAAAAACAATCCCTTCCTAACCCACAATCCCCCAATAAACGATTACACGCTAAACAGCAAAGGTTGCGTCTGACACACTGCTTGTTGCCATTGGACACTCTAAGTAACCAGAAACCCACAATGATCCCAAACAGGAGATTAAAATAATCTGGGAGGGTCTTCCAGCTCTGGCTCCTCATCTGCTTTCACTATAATATTAAATACTCGATAGATGGGCCAGGCTATCTTCACCGTCTTCCTCCACACAGATGGCATTTATTCAGTTCATACGTCACACTGAGACACATACCATTATCACCTCTTGAAAAGAAACTACACCATGAAACTACACATTTGAGCATCTTCTAATGTATTGTCCTAACACATATAAGAATCTCATTTTACTGAAGCTGTGATTAGTGTAAAAAAAAAATCTGCTATTACTTTCGAGCCCAGATCTAGTAGATGTTAGATGTATTCATGAGCAATAATTGCCTATAAAGGGGTCTTTGAATAGAAAAGGAGATATGACAATTATGCACAAAGTTTGACACAACGACATATGCTCCGTGCAAGGATAAGAGTTTGTGAAGTGATCCTGTGACTGGAAGGTCTCTTCTTCTACAATTACTGTCAATGTAATTCTGAGAAAAGATACTTGACCCTTTGAATTATTATAGTTCCATATTGATATGGCTGCATTCAGCAGGTCTGAAGTGATAAACTTAACAAAAACTTCACAAAAGTTAATGCCAAACTTGCCAGCATACACAGATTTGCACCAACATTCAGTCAATTACCAATTCCAAGCATGAGGCTAGTTCTATACAGACATTTGAATTTGTTCTGTGAAACAAATGGGTACACAAATTCAAATGAATTTTTCAACACTTCTGTGAAACTGGTTATTTTGAGAAATTTCACGTTATTCTCGGGTAACATACAGACCCACACAGTTTTGATTCTGAAGAGCTGTTTTTAAGCTGAATAAACCCTGCTGTCTGTGTGGCTTGCCAATTGTCTGAAGTAGCAAATAAGGTTAACATTTGTGTATAAATATTGATCCTCACCCTGAGGCTTAGCAACTTCTTTGAAACCAGGCCCATTAAACCTTGCCCAACTAACTGTTTATTCACATCACTCTCAGTGATTTTTGTTACTATCAAATAAAACAAAAGACGGAGTCTAGTTTGTCCGCTGTATATGAATTTTCACTGAAAGCAGGTTTCCATTTTCTCTCGGAGACAGTACACTGTTAGAAAGGCATCCACCACCTTTCCCCTGCCCTGTAATTCATTTCTAAGTTAAAGGCTGTGTATCATTATTCGCTTGAGCTCTACTCACCCGACGCCGCCAGTGCACCCAAGCCCCATCAACTTGAGGGGAGACATGGCAGTGGTGGTGGTGAGGTGGGGGATTCTTGGCAGAAATTCCCCGCAAATTTTATGCCAAGAGCGAAATGGAAACCTCCTCTCATTTTCCTTTCCCCTTAATCCAATGTTTTCAAGCCCCAGCCCCACCAAGGTCATTATAATCATAGCAAGTGGAAGGCAGCCAGTGACCCGCCATTACAGTAAGGTAGAGAGCCACCCAGTCAGTCAGCTATTGGCTGCCGAAGAGGAACACAATTCTGCCTAAAAATGTTCAAAATCTCTCCATTTTAAATGAAGATAACCAAGAGCAGATAAAGTGTTCCTGCCAATACACTTAAGGTTGTGTTTTTTATGATGCGGATCCCCTGAACTGGTTCAGAAGCATTAAGGGCAATTGTTTTATCAAATGCACACAGAGCTTAAGGTATGTATATTTTGGCATCTAATATGACAAAATGATATTTAGAACTACTCAAACTTATTCAAGTCACATACATTAAAATATCCAAACTTAGCATGTTCACCGACCCTAACTTTTAAGAGTGAGTAATAAGGCAGCAAAATTACACAAACAATAACACACCACAAGGTCATAAAGAATGGCAGTTTTCACTGTGGCACCAAAGGTCATGTTTACTTGTCAGAGTGAAGGCGCCATACTGTACTGTGACCTCCATAGCCAGCTTATGTACCCACAGACACACACACAAGCGCACACACACACACACACACAAAAAGGGTTGTGTGTTCACTTTCACATGTGCGTGCCATGCGCACACACTTAAAGAATAGTCTCTTCTCACAAGCTGTGCCACAGACAATAGGACAGTGCACACTGGGCTACACAACCCATATATCTGGGTCTGTTCTAAGATAAAGCACCTCCAGCATTAAAGCCAGTGTATTAGCTTGCCCTTTTTCACCACAGATGAAGAGATTTGAAGCTCGATATTGTGCTTGTTGGCTGGCACACCACCAGGGTGTTGTTGGCTGAATAATGAAAACACACAGACTGACAGCGAATGGCATGAGGTGACACTTCCATTCTAGAGTGGGAAGATCCAAAACAAAGCGCAAAAAGCTTCTGACAAATTCATACTTTTCTGTGACAGTTTGTTGACTGAGGAGGGAAACAACTCCTAAATCAGAAAAGGCTTTCATTTAAACCCAGGAACACGAGCACAGCAGTGCTCCAGTACAGTGCCTACACGAGAGTACATGGTTTCAGATACGTGGGTGAAGAGTATTTTTGTTGCAGACCAATTACGAAGCAGCTTAATTGAAAGGTTGACATGGGCTTACTTTGGTTTTTATGCCCAAAAGACATAAAATATTGGACTTCATGTTTGACTGATCCACACTACATACACCAATGCCAAATACAGCTCTCATTACCAAACGGTGTACCTTCTGAAACACCAGTGGTCTAAAATCAGGAAACTTTAACAAAGCTCATACATTTTTAGAGGTGGATCTTACATTTATTCAGTCCACATTTTTCTGACACATTAGCAATTATTTTCAAACATGAATAAAATGATTTTACCAAGTATTTCCTTTTGGGTCCAAACTACCAAAGTGTGTCCTTAAGTATTGTAGTAATTTTATATCAGTGCTTGCTTTTTAACAAAGTCTTTGTAGTCAACATTCAAGGGTACACTCAGATGCTGTAATGGATAATCAATTGCCATTACCCTCCTTGGTTGGCAGCAAGGTGCTAAAACATGTCTGCTTTTATGTCTGCACAAAACATACAATCCGTTTCATTTTGACACTATAACCACACAGCCACAACAATAAAACTACTGATAGGAGAAGTGAACAACATTGATTGTCTTGCTAAAATGGCACGTGTAAAGGATTTGGGATATATCACGCAGCAAGTGAACAGTCGGTGCTTGAAGCTGAGGTGTTGGAGGCTGGAAAAATGAGCAAGGAGGAGGATCTGAGCAGCTTTGACAAGAGCCAAACTATAATGGCTAGACGACTGGGTCAGAGAATCTACTGAACAGCAGGTCTTGTGGTGTGTTTCTACGATGCAGTGGTTAGCACCAACCAAAAAGTGGTCCAAGGAATGACAACCAGCGAAAAGGCGACAGCGTAGTGCACGCGCAAGGCTCAATGATATGTGCTGGGAGTGAAGTCTGGCCCGTGTGGTCTGATCCCACAGAAGAACTATTGTAGCACAAATTGCTGAAAACTTTCATGCTGGCTGTGACAGATAGGTGGCCTGTCAGAGTGCCCACAGTGACCACTGTCGACTGCCAAAAACATGAGTAGACCAGTGGACTGGTCTGATTTTCTTTTACATCATGTGGGCAGCCAGGTGTGTGTGTGTGTGTGTGTGTGTGTGTGTGTGTGTGTATGTTATTTACCTGTGGATAAGATGTCAGTAGGATGCAGGATAGAAAGAAAGCAAGCCAGCAGAGGTAGTCTGATACTCTAGGTAGTGCTCTATAGGGAAACCTTGGATACTGGCATTCATGTGGATGTTACTTTGACATCTACCGCCCACCTAAACCACCACATATACCCCTTCATGATAACAGTATCCCCATTGAGAAAGGCCTCTTTTAGCTGGACAATGTGCCCTGCCACACAGCAGACAGTGTTAAGTAATAGTTTGAAGAACGTGACAAAAAGTTCAAGGTGTTGACTTGGCCTCCAAATTCCTGAGATCCGAATCCAATTGAGCAATTATTGGATATGCTGAAAAAACAAGTCCAATAAATGGTGCCCCACCGTGCATCTTACAGGACTTAAAGGATCTGCTGCTAATGCCTTGGTGCGTGATACCACAGGACACCTTCAGAGGTTTTATGGAGTCCATGTCTTGACGCGTTACAGCCACCTTGGCAGCATGAGGGGTACCTGCATAATATTAGACAGGCGATTTGACTGTTGTGGCTGATTGCTGTATAAACACGTATACATTTGTGTACTGCAGTTGAGCAAAACTATACGCATTTTCTTCTGAGGAGAAAAATGCAAGTATGAACTTATAAAAACATTAGTGGTCTACACAGTACAAACAGCTGTGAAACATTCTTAGAGAGGGAATTACAAATCAAGCTGATGAATATCCCCGACAAAACGGGTAATTCTGGGAAATCAACCTCAGCTCATGTGCTAAATTAAAGTACCACTGTTTGCATTTCATGATTTCCATCAAGTCCACAAAATACAACACGGACTTTGGTAGACGAGGAGGAAAACACATTCTGTGCACAAGCCCCCTCAAAGACGTCTCAATGCATAGTGATAGTAAAAAGGCTGCAATGGGCTACTTTCATTTATATATCATGACCCTGCTCTGTGAAGGGTCCATGTGACTTACACACTCCTTATGCAGCATATCAGTGAGAACTCACTGTCAGTCAGTCAGTCAGTCAGTCAATCACACACATACACAGACACACAGTCACTGCACCCACTGTCACCTAGTCTCCACCTCTGTGCCTCCCAGCCAACCGTTGCAATTTCCCAAGTTCAAGCCTAGGTCAAACACCTGAGCAGTAGATCAGTGAATATTAACTGTAAAAACTGTGATCACTGCTGCTTGTGCTGAGCAGCTGGCACAATCTGACATTTAAGAAATGAAGAAGACAGTGTCACAAGATAAATGCATCAAGCTTTCGTGGATTTAAACATGAATCACTGAGTTATTCATTACATTTACATACCAAAATGACTAATTGAGCTGTTTGCTTACGCATGTATTGAGTAGAAATGATTAAGAGCACCAAAAAGAAGAAGGAAAAAAAATGTCACTCTCGACTAATTCCTTTAATAATCATTGTCATTGGCCACTACCATCTGAGCAATCCTCTAGTGGCCGGAGTGTGCCACTGCAGCTCTTCATTATCTGGACTGATAAAGGCACAATACGAACATCCAAGATACAGCGGGTCAAATGTACAAAAGTAAACCAACCTCCTACCAAAATCAACTACACGGGAATTATTGCGGGTTTCTGCTGCGGCACGGCGTTATTTTAAGCAACGTAGCGGAGCACAACTGTCGTTTCCTTTTTCTAACCGCGTTATTGATCGTAGTCTGTCTGCAATGAATGGCTGCAAAGGGAAGGGGGGAAAAACCCTGAACTTCAGGTGACCGACCATGGCTCTGACATAGCCTGCATGCAGACTGGGAGGGGTAGAAAAAAAATACATTGCCTTGGAGGAAGAAAAAAAAAAAGCCCCTCACTACACTTTTTAAAGTCGACGACAAACAAGCGCGAACAAATTCGGTTCCGCGATTTGGAGCAGCACAAACTATGAGGCGAAAGTTAGACGTTTATCGCCGAGGAAATGAAGTTTACCGAGCGGGGCTATATAGCGCTATTGCTAACTAGGAACACTAGGGTATGGGTAGCCAGACTCTGGCTTGTCTGATCCGACTGACCCTTCATTTTATTGCGGCCAGACTCCCAGATCCTCCCCTTTCTACCCGAAAAGCGACCTAGCAGAGGCGAACACATTACCGAAAACGCTCGGCCGTTATAGCTCACACACAACCGACACATATGCCAACTGACCGCAACCTTTAGCGGAACCGGACCTCTATCGATTGTACTCTTATTAAAGCCACGTATCATTTATCCACTCAGTGCCGAGCTAACGTTACCCATCGCCAACAACATGGCTGCCTCGCTCGGACCTAAAAAGGGAGAAATAACCTACGCCGAGTCTTTTGTCTGTTTCACCTCTTTAACCCTAAACTACTGCGCAAAACACACGGAGAGCCGATAAAATTGCACAAAACGAGTGAACGACTTACGTGAAGGCAGGCGCTTGGGTTGCTCCTGCTTCCTCCTTGGCATTTTCCCCCGTTTTTAATCACATTCTCGTCCTTGTTTAGGGATAAGAAGAAAAAAGGTTTTTCCCATTGAGACTGGAGG